GGGGGGGGGGGGGGGGGGGGGGGGGGCACATGTTCTACCCTTCAGGGTATTCTAATGAAAGGTCTCAACGAAAGGAACCGTTTTGTACCAATTACTCCCCTTGTTTCTGTCCTCTTATCAAAGTTCGGGGCGGTGGGTGAGGGGGGGGGGGGGGGTGAAACTAGTTTTATCCTTCATGGTACTCTAATGAAAGGTCCCAACGATAGGAATAATTTCTACCTACCATAGCCCTCCTCCTCGACCTCTTATCGTGATCGGGTACATTCCCTTATACCTCAAGAACGTGATATATTTGAACTCACAAACCTAGGCGGAGCAGAAATCTGACTTGCCCCAGAAGGTTTCTACTCTGCCTAGGTTATTTCCGAGCGAGCCGAAGGTGAGTTCGGCACAAACCTAGTCAGAGTAGAGGTCTGACCTGCCCCATCAAATCTTTACTCTGCCTAGGTTTGTGAAAATAGTCGCCCACTGCAAAACTTATGTCTTTTTCTTCGCATGGGCTTGATAGAGATGAGCATAATTTGTGTACACCACACATGCGACCAGTTTTACAGTGGGCGACTACCTGCGATGATTGACGTGACTGTTTTTGTACTAGAGGAATAATGCATTTATAAAAAAGCGTGGGGCCAGAATAGTTACTATTGCACTAAGTAACTGATTTTCTCTGAAAGCGCAAAATTTCATTCCAACGGCGTTAACAGGCGCCTCGCAATTTCTTCATAAAGAAACATTATTTAATAAAATGTCTGCGGCCCCACGAGATAACAATTTTTGAAAAATCTCGGGAGCAAAATTTCTTTACAACGATGCAAAATGGCGCATAAGTTAAGGAGATACCGGTTCGGTTCAGTTTATAAAAGTGTCAGAAATATTTAACAATAAAAGTAGAACAGAGACACCAAAAGCAATCATCTTGGATTTTATTTCCGATTTAATTCGCGGCGCCAATCAAGGTCAAATAAATTGCTTCGGGTCACGTGGGTGAGGGTGTTTTCGGGGACTTCATTGGCTATTTCTGAGAATTTTGAATACTTTCGTTGAATTTGAATTTGATCAATTTATTTAGTTCGCGTTCTAAATTACTAATTGACTGTTTGATGGTTTCCTACTGGTAAATTAATTTAGTTTAATTAATTTAATTAATTAAGTTTCGCGGATATAATTGCTTGAAATTAGACTTAAATTTTGATCAATTAACTTTCTGGCAAGCGATTTAATTATTCATCATGGATTTTGACGTCACAAACCACGCCCACTGTTTAGTCCACGTCGATGATGTAATATTGAGTGGTTCTTATATTAGGTCATTCCCGTAAGTGGGCGTAAGCCTGTTGAGAACCTAGAACAAGAGGGATAATAAATAAATGGGTTGGTGTTTACGTTTTTTCTTAAATTTAACATTATTATAACATACAAACCTAGGCAAAGCAGATGTAGACACCTCATCAGACCTCTACTCTGCTAGTAGGTTTGTTTTAACGTGGAAGTGTATATAATAACAGGCATTTTAAAATGTCGAACGCACCGAGGACTTGCAAACCTAGTCGGAGTAAAGGTCTGACTATCCCATCAGACTTTTACTCTACCTAGGTTTGTAAGTAAGCGGGCATCTTGGATTTTACTTCCGGTTTAATTGGCAGAATTATTTTAATTCGCGGGATCAATCAAGGCCAATTAAATTGATTCGCTGACTTGATTATTTCTAGGAATTTTGGATAATCTCGTGGAATTTATAGGTACTTTAATATGACTAATTCATTTATTTCGGGTTTTAATTGACTGTTTTTGCGGTTTCGCACTCTGACTGGCAGAATCGCGGATATAATTTAACTATGTAATTTATTATTAGTTTAATTAGCCTTTAATTTTGATCAATGAACTAATTGCGACATGCGATTTAATTAATCATCAGGGACTATAACGTCACAAGCCCCGCCCACTGTCTAGCCCACGTAGACGACGCAATCTTGAGTGGTTTTTATCTCGGTTAAAGTAAAATGGGTTCTTATCCTAGGTGCGTGTGGTTAGTATCTTGGCTAAGGTAACATGGGTTCTTATTAGCCTTAAAAAGCTTCGTTAAACTAAAATGGGTTCTTAGCCTAGATACAAACCACACGAGACAGTTGTTAAGATAAGGACCCCATCTACTTTACACCACGCAAAGCTACGATAAGACGTTTTGACACAAATTTATAGTAACATGCAAAAGTTTGTTTAGTTTCTTGGTCAATGACTCATGGAGAAGGGAGTTCTTTACACATAAACATTTAATGGCCGTCTGGCACACATTTGAGACACTCAAGCAAAATTCACCGTTTTTTGCGTTTCTCTTGCTTGGTAAGTACTCATATCCGGCCCTCCGTTTTCCAAATATTCGCACTTATGGATATCTCTCTGCCAAATGCTCCAGTCCTCTTCGTGAGTGTCCTCATGATGAAA